GGTTGGATCACTTCTTGACTCACTGCTGCCGGTGTGTGGTGAGAAGTGGGTCATAGCAGCTCCCAGCCCCCTTGAGGCTGGGTGGAGTTCCCTGGGACCACTGCTCGGCCACCTGAGGCATCAAATGTCTCCATGGCCTTTATTTTGAAGTGGTTTGGGGTGTTATTCAAGGGCTTTTCCCTGACCCACTAGGCCGAAGAGGGTCAGCTTTGGCAACACCTGTGGATTCATGCTACCAGGCCCTGTGGTCTGGCTCAGTAAGACTGATTAATGGCACCCTGGCCTGGTTCAGAATTTCCTCAGGCCTCCCTGCCCCAACGGGTCCTCAGCTTCACCCTGTCCCGACCCTGCCTCTTTGTGACTCAGACCTTTGCCAAAACAATTTTTGGATTTTTTTTTTTCCTTAAAGAGCTGGAAGAGAGTTTTATGGGGATGCATGAAATCCCAGGAATAACGCTAGAGGAAAAATGTGGGGCCTTTTGTAGTGTGTGGGGGCAGTGGATGGGAAGAGGAAAAAAGGGAAAATGTTTAGAAATATCATTGACACAGTCATCTTGGAGAAGAATTAGGTCATTGGCAGAGCTGACAAACGCCCTCCCACCAGGGAGTTCCAATTCTAGGAATATAGCCTGGGGAGTTCAAACACATGTGCACCTGGAGCTACTTCCAAGGATGTCCACCAAAGCACTGTTTGTGACCACGGAAAGCTGGCCCTATCAGTGAGTGGGGGGAGGAAAAATAACTAGTGCTGTTATATAAGGCATTCACCACAGACCGTCAGCCATCTACAGGCCACACTGCAGTGAGTGACACTCAAGGTATGACAGCAAGTAAACAAGTTGAATAGGTCACCTTAGCCTAATTGATGAGCTCTGGATCCCAGTGAGAGACCCTGTCTCAAAGAACAATACAGCCAGTGAGATGGCTCAGCAGGTAAAGGCACTTGCTGCCAAACCTGATGCCTGTGTTCAATCTCTTGAACCCACAGATTGGAAGTCAAAAACCCATTTTCGAAGATTGTTCTTCGATCAACCTCCACATGTGTGCTGTGGCATGGCAGTCACATGCATACTAGCAGATATATATATATATATATGTATATATATATATATATAAGCAAAAACAATAACAAAAAAGCAGGTGGACAGTAGCTGAAGAAGATTGATTTCTGCCCCTGTCATTGAGACACATGTAGACATAGACACGGACCACACACACACACACACACACACACACACACACACACAAGAAAATCCCAAGCTATGTAATACATTGTTTGTGGCTATTTGTATGTGTGATAAAAGTCACACCTTGGAGAAGAAGAAAGATGAACTCCAAGCCCCTCTGTCAGTCAGGATAGGTTAAGTCCATACAGCTCTGACAAACAATGTCCAGCTCCACAGTGGTTGTGACACTATTTGTTTTTGTCTTTGTTTTTTTTTTTTTTTTTCGAGACAGCGTTTCTCTGTGGCTTTGGAGGCTGTCCTGGAACTAGCTCTTGTACACCAGGCTGGTCTCGAACTCTCAAAGATCCGCCTGCCTCTGCCTCCTGAGTGCTAGGATTAAAGGCGTGCACCACCACCGCCGGGCATAACCCTGTTTCTTGATTGTGTCCATATGTACCCATGAGAGGTTGACAGAGCTTTGTTTGATGCCAGCAGCATTAGCTGCCACAGCAGAGGGAAAGAGAGCCTAGCAGGTTACCCATCTCTTAGCTTCATGTAAGCCAAGGGAAAATATGTGGCCAAAGCCCTTTACAGAACCAGGCAAGAATTATTCTGTTATGTATCCCAAATGAGAAGCAACAATAGGGGTGACTATTGACAACCCCACCTAAAAAATTATGGCCTCTGGGAAGAATAAAGAACACTGTGAATTCTCCACCTCATTACCTCAAGTGTGTTGTGCCCATGCTCTCTGAGTGGTGTGTGTGTGTGTGTGTGTGTGTGTGTGTGTGTGTGTGTGTGTTCTGCATGAGTGCAGTCATGAGTATGCCATGGTACACACAGAGAGAGGTCAGAGGATAACCTCGGATATCTGTCCTTACTTTCTACCATTGTTTGTTTGAAATAAGAGTCTCATTGTATAGCCCAGACTACCCTGGAACTTGCTATGTAGACCAGGTTGGCCTTCAACTCACAGAGATCTGCCTGCCTTGGTGTTGTAGTTTGAAAGAAAAATGTCCCCCATAGCCTCATACATTTGAACACTTAGTCTCCAGTGGGTGGCACTGTTTGGGGAGAGTTTGGAGATGTGTGGCCTTTTACTGGAGGAAGTATGTCACTTGGGGCAGGCTTTGAGAGGTTAAGGCCTCATACTACTCTCAGTTTGTGCCTACAGTTTAAGGTGTGAGTCCTCAGCTTGCTGTTCTAGCCACTATGGCACCTGCCATGCCTCCCTGACATGATGATGATGGACTCAAATCCCTCTGAAACTGGAATACCAAACAAACCCTTCTAGCTCTAAGTTGCCTCAATTACAAAATATATCACAGCAGTAGAAAAGTAATTAATACATTCTGTTTCCCAAGTACTGGGATTACATGTGTGTCAGCATGCCCAGCTTCTGCCTTGTTTTTAGGCAGGATCTCTCTTGTTCGCTGTTGCATCTGCCCGGTTAGCTGTCTCGAGAGCTTTTTGCGATTCTCTTGTCTTGGCCTCTCACCATCAGGTAGGTATTCTGGGGTTGCAAACATGTGCACTATCGTGTCCTGCTGTTATATGGGTTTTGGGGATCTGAATTCAGGCTTGCACACTGCTTTACCCAGGGCCAACTCTCTAGACCTGTAATTACCACTTTTATTTTGTTATTTTTATCTTGTATGTATATGGGTGTATTGACTGCATGTATGTCTGTGTACTACAGGCATGTCTGGTGCTCACAGAGACCAGAAGAGAGCATCAGATATCCAGGAACTAGAGTAATGAGGGGTTGTGAACTTCCACGTGGGGCCTGGGATCCTACCTGGGTCTTCTGGAAGAGCAGCCACTGCTCTTAACCACTTTTATTTTTAAAAGTACAAAGCAGGACTAGGGATGTAGCTCAGTGGTAGAGTACTTGCCTACAATGCTCAAGAGCCTGGATTCCACCCAGCACCGCATGCACAAAATGAAGCAATTAAGTTTTAACCCTGGGACAAATGGCTGAGATGCCTATTTAACTCATCAAAGTGACCTGGCCTCCAGGATCTCCCTGCATCCCTTAGTCCATGCTACAGGGCACTCCCAGATGACATACCCACCCCTACCCTGAACTTTTCCAGCCTGGGGAGGGGACTCTGCCCTACATAATCCAATCATTTTCGTTACCCATTCTTTGTATTTCGGGCCTCATGAATGCTACACCTGGCTCCCCTTTCCCTTCCCCTTCCCCCTCTCCCCACATGGCCCAGCTCAGTCTGGACATGTCCACTCTGGACTCTCCCAGATGTCCCTGCCTCTGGCTATGCTCTCCCACATAGCTACAATAAACTTTCTCCTCCACTAAACCTAGGAGCAGTCATGGCCTTCCCTTTCTTTTATTTCATTCAGCAATAATATTCCCTTTTCCTGTTCTAAAGGGAGAAAATACCTACCAAGCTCATAATTCTTCAGGTTGTGTCTGTCAGCCATTTTAGTTTGGTTTGTTTATTTGGGTTTTTTGTTTGTTTGTTTGTTTGTTTTTGGAGACAGAGTTTCTCTGTGTAGCCTTGGCTATCCTGGAACTCACTCAGCAGACCAGGCTGAGTGAGATCTGCTACCTCTGCTTCTCAAGTTCTGGGATTAAAGGTCTGCACTATCACCACACAACTAAAAATGAGTAGTACAGGCTGGCCTAGAACTCCTGATCCTCCTGACTCCTTCTCCTTCAGCAAATCCTACCGGCATGCACCACCCCAATCACAGTCTATTTAAAGTAGAAAGTGTAACTCTAGAATAGTGTTTCTCAACCTTCTCAATGCTGTGAACTTTAATACAGTTCCTCATGTGTGATGGCCCCCAACGATAAAATTTCACTGCTAATTGGTAACTGTAATCTTGCTACTGGTATGAATGGTAGTGTAAATATCTGATATGCAGGATATCTGATATGTGACCCCTGTGAAAGGGTCATTTGACTTCCAAAGGGGTCTCGACCCACAGATTAAGAACCCTGATCTAGAGGAAGATACTCAGTAAGAATAGGAATTTTGTGTGTGTGTGTGTGTGTGTGTGTGTGTGTTCCTTCAGGCCGTGCTTTTCTTGTGGTGTTCAGGAGGAGCACAAACCACCCCATTTTTTTCTTGTCATTCTTATCTGCATAGCAGGCATCTTCCAGACCTCCAGAGCCTGCTGAGTGACAGCCTTGTTTGGAGCCCTAGGTGGGTCATTCTCCTCTTAGTGCAGCCAGTATTCTCCTAAAGTGGCCTGTCTCACCTGTGTGTGCCCAGCTACGAACCTGACACAAGGTTAGTTTCTGGTCTGTGTCACAAGTGACCCTGATAAGAGCCACTTCAGGCTAGAACCGTGCCTTCCTCCCTCTACGGGACCTCCTCTGGAGCAAGGAATGAATGTTTGTTGAATGAATGAATGACTACAGCTCCCCTCCTTTGGCCCTTCAACAGACAGAAAACACTTAGTCTTTTCTCCCATGACTCTTGGCAGGACCAGATTCTCTATAGATTTTCTGCATTGAAAAGCCTCCAGTTTCTACCTACTGCCACTGACTATACTCTCAGCCCTATGTGTGACCACTAAGTGACTAATTATCTGGGATTCCTGAAAGTTCCTCTATTTCTGTACCAGAAGTCCTATGTCCTAGCATGGCTGGTCACCCCATAGCGGTTCCCCAAGAGTCAATCTTCTTTCATCTTCAACTGGGGGGCTGGTTCCGGCCTCATCTCTGCATTTCAGACCTAAGATTTCATAGACAGGTCAGAGGGCAAGTGTTACATCAATGAAGGCAGAGTCAACTTGGGACTTTTAGAAAGGTCTTTATTCTCTAGGGAATCTGGGGTCAATACTGACAGCCAAGCCTTGGTTCTAGTTGTTTGCTATGGTCTGAAAAAAAAAAAGCAGAAGGTTAGACAAGGAAAGAATAACTTAGTTAAAAGTGCAAATTTTGGGCCTGGAGGGAACTGGGCTCAAGTGGAAATGGCCTAGCCTTGTCGCTTGTTTGCTCTGTGTCCCTGGGAGAGTGACTTGATCATTCTGAGCCATAGTTCCCTCATTTCCATAGGACAGGTAATATAGTAGAAGTTGCCTCATGGGTCTCCTTTTTTGTTTGTTTGTCTGTCTGTTTGTTGCTTTTTGAGTCAGGGTTTCTCTGCACAACAGTTCTGGCTGTCCTAGAACTGGCTTTGTAGGCCAGGGTGGCCTTGAACTTACTGAGATCTGCTTGCCTCTGCCTCCCAAGTGCTGGGATCAAAGGTGTGCACCACCACTGCCCAGCTTCATGGGTGTTCTTAATTGAGCTGTTAACTAAGGTTTTTAGCACAGTGAATGTACAAATCACAGCCAGTACCACTATCAGGAAGAGCAGCCATGTCTTGGGCCACCTGTGTCCAGATGGTCTGCTCTGCACCCTCATTGAACCCAAGTACCCCTGACATCATTGTTCTCACCACTTTTTCCTTCTACCATCCATTTTCCCATCTGTCTATCACCAAGTGGCTCATTGTTTGATATAACTCTCTGCCCTCCAAGACTAGGAATGACCTGGGCCAGGGGGACACGTCTCAAAACCTGTTAGATTCTGGAAGTGCAGCCAAATAAAGCATGCCCAGGCTCTCTAGGATGTCCCCAAAGGTCCCTCCCAGACCCCCACAAGCTTCAGGCGTTCCTCAGAGTCTGCAGATTCTCCTCAAAGTCCCTGGCAGGCTTCTGGTTCCTCTGTTGCCTCACCTCCTGGATCCAGTCATTGAAGGCTGAGACACGGGTGAACACCGTGGGCTTCTTCTTGGTGTTGCAGCCCAAGGAAGAAACGAAGCTGGTCACACCATGGACCTGCCAGGTGCCATTCTCAGTGGGACAGTTGAGGGGTCCTCCAGAGTCTCCCTGCAATGGTGGGAAAGGTGGCGGCTCAGCTATGTCTGAAGGATAAGGAGTGGGCTCTGAGTTCCAGTGACATCAAGAAGCCTTCCTACTACTTCACCTCTCTGGACATCAGTTTGCAAAGGACCATGGGTCTGCAAGACCATAAGGCAGTGTTTCTCAACCTGTGGGTCACAACCAGTTTGTTTCACAGGTGTCACATACCAGATATTTTACATTATAATTCATAATAGTAGCAAAATTATAGTTATGAAGTAGCAGCAAAATAATTTTATGGCTGGGGTCACCACAACGTGACACGCTGTATTAAAGGGCCGTGGCATTAGGAAGGCTGAGAACCACTGCCATAAGGGTTAATGAGACAATGAAATATATCAGCACCGCACCCCATGGAGGCAGTTCTCCAAGGACGGTGCCCTCGCCATCTGACCACATTTAATGTCTTGGGATTTGGTTTGGTTTTAATTGTCGGAGACACTGTGTAGCCCAGGCTGATCTTGAACTTGCAAACTACCTCAGTCTCCAGATTGCTAGGATACCAGGTTGGGATGATAAGCATGTGCTGTCACAGCCAGTTATACACAATGAGAGCATCCTGAATGTCTAATTATCACTTCAAAGCCACAACTGACATCGAGTGGCAATGCAGCTCAAATGGTAAAGCGTTTGCTTAGTGTGGACAGAGCTGTGGGTTCCATCTCTGTTACTGCATCAGCTGGACGGTAGACATAAGAGGATCAGAAATTCAAGGTCATTCTTGGCTACATCGTAAGTTTGAATGCCAGCCTGTGATATACCAGAGTCTCAAAACAGTGGTTGGGCCAGGCAGTGAGGGCACACACCTTTAATCCTAGCACTGGGGAAGCAAAGGCAGGTGGATCTCTGTGAATTCGAGGCCAGCCTGGTCTTCAGAGTGAGTCCCAGGACAGCCAGGGCTACACAGAGAAACCCTGTCCCAAAAAACAAAAAACAAAATAAAACAACAAAAGCATGACTGGCAGAGGCAGGTAGAGGCAGGTAATTGCTGTGAGTTCGAGGCCAGCCTAGTCTACATAGTGAACTTGGGTCAGTCAAGGATACACTGTGAGACCCTGTCTTAAAAAAAAAAAAAAAAAAAAAAAAACAGTGACAAAAAGGAGCAGAGAGGAACTGGGACTCCAGTTAAGCCAGGTGGTAGCTAGGCTAGAATCCAGGCTTCTGGGGGCAGACGGTGAAGGGACTTCAGGGCCCCGTGCACATGCCATCCAGGCAGGTGTGAGCCTACTCACGTTGCAGCCAGACCGGATATCCCCGCCAGCACACACCATAGTCCTTGACACGGAGAAGCCCCACCAGTCCCACTTGGAGCAGTGTGCATAGTCCACCACGGGCAGCAGGGCCTGCTGCAGCTTGTCAGGGAGAGGCCCTTTGGCTGGGGAGACAAAGAACACTGCCTGAGACACTTGGGAGTTGCAGAGTGGGGGCCTTCAAAGGCACCATTAGCCTGGTAGGAACTATGGGGTCTTGCTTGCTCTGTGTCCTGTGGCATTGTTAGTACTGGGCACACAGTGGATACCCCCAAAATGTCCCACTGAACATATTTGTGTTGGGGAGGATCAGGGAGAAAGTGGAAGCTGGAGAGGAATGCCGGCCAGTACAAGATGGTTCCTGCTGTGGCCTTCTGTCCCACTTGTCCCAGACACTTGTCTCTGTGGTCAGGGAAAAGGGTCAGCACGTACTGGAAAGACGGCCCCAGCCACTAATGTAGCAGGGTGCTCCGTTGGGGAGGATGTCACCAGCAGGAGGGAGGCAGGCAACCTGGACTGTGTCTCCTAGCTGGGCGCTTCTTGAGAGCTTGACCAGGGCGATGTCATTGCTGGGAGGAAATGGGAGTCACATAAGACCAGGTTCTTCTTCTTCTTCTTTTTTTTTTTTTTTTGGTTTTTCGAGACAGGGTTTCTCTGTGTAGCTTTGGAGCCTGACCTGGCACTCGCTCTGGGGACCAGTCTGGCCTCAAACTCACAGAGATCCTCCTGTCTCTGCCTCCCGAGCGCTGGGATTAAAGGCGTGTGCCACCAACGCCCAGCTGAAACCAGGTTCTTCTAATGGACTCACAGCATGCACCCACTTTGCTCCTTGGATTCCAAATCCATTTATTGATTGATTTTTGTGGTGCTCGGGTTTGAACTCAGGGTCTTACACATGCTAGGCGCTTACACATGTGCCACCCCAGCCCATCCTAAGTCTCTTTTGTTTTGTTTTGCTTTGTTTTTGAGACAGGGGGTAGCCCTGGCTAACCTATGTAGACTGGACTGGCCCATAATTCACAGGCAGCCACCTGTTTCAGATTAAAGGTGCATGCTACCACACCTGGCTTCAAAATCCAAATTCAGTGTTAAGGTGGGACTGCTTTTGGAAGCCTCAGGCCACTGTAGCCTTGCTAACCCTTGTTATTTGTGGTCCTCGTGGTCCAGCTATATCACCTGGAAGGTTCAGGGACACAGTTGCCTTCCTACTCTGGTGCTTCCCAGTGCAGTGGTCAAGGTTGATGTCTGAGAGCCCACATTTCTGACAGGTCCCCAGGGGATGCTGCTGCCCCCCAGGGTACCACAGTGGGCATCTTGACTGCCCAGATGCCACTCAAGTCATTTCACTGGAGTCTGACATAGTTCTCTGCTCATTCTAGGGTTCTAGCCGATGTGGGCTAGCATCTTCACCCACCACTCCTTTGTTATTGCCGTTGCAGCTACCCACAGGGTGTGCCACCTGGGCCTCAGCCGCTGTCTCCGGGAGTGATCTCTCAGTTTGCTTGATGGCTTGTGTACTAGAACCCCCAACTCCAGACCAGAGACTTCACTCACCCACAGCTCACACACTTGGGGTTCCACTTGGGGTGCACAAAGAGGTCTTCAGCGTTGATGGGGATCACCTGCTCTGGACCCTCTTTCACGGCCCGATCGTACTCGCCCAGTACCACTTGGTAGGTTAAAGAACTCCTGCAGAGTAGAGGTCGATTTGAGCCTATAGCCAACCTCACCCCCTCTCCTATTGTCCCAGCTGCCTGGGACTCATGCAGGGATAGTGGCTGGGGCAGAGACAGGGGGTAGAACTCACGAGATGCAGTGACCTGCAGTCATAACCCAGTCAGGAGCAATAAGGGTGCCACCACAGGTGTGGTGGAAGCTCCCGTCCTTCTCATACTGAAGGGAGACCTGGAGGCCAAGAAGGAAGGAGCTTGAGTGGCCTGTACCCAATACCCTGGGACCCAATACCAGTGGTTTTGTAGGTTGTGCACTGTACAACTCGGGGAAAAAAAGATGGTACCCTCTGAAATACGTAATGCACAACCTATGCAACTCCTCATGGGAATCAGTCCCTTTTCCATTAGAATCACATTTTGATTTGCCAAAGCCTCCCCACCACAGGCTTTATGATGTCTCTGGGGGTCCACAACACTCTTTGCCCTCTGGGGAATCCACAAAACATGTGGCTCCTGAGGGTTCCCAAGACCCTCTGCCCCATCAGGTCTCCCGTTCTCCTGAACCTTAGCTCTTTCAAGGCCTCTTGGGCCTGCAGGAATGTGCTTCACCTTGAGTCCTGTGCCCCCCTCTTCCTTATACTTTCTGACTTGCAAAAGCTCCCTCTACAACTGGGGGTGGTGGTCTATACCTGTCATTCCAGCCTCTGGGAAGTAGTGGCAGAAGGACCAGAAGTTGGAGACTAGCTAAGGTTATGTAAGACTGTCTCCAAAAAAATACATAAAAGAGGTGTGGCTGGAGAAGTCGAGTGCTTGCCATGTGTAGAGTCCTTGCCTAGCATGCTTGAAGTTCCATCCCCAGGCCTACATAAGTGGGGTATGGTGGCACATGCCTATAACCCCACCACTCAGGAACTGGAAACAGAGAGCCTTGGCTGTATATTGAGTTTGAGGACAGCCTGGGCTACAGGAAACCCTGTATCAAAAACAAAGAACAACAAAACCTCCTTAACCAAAAAGGAACTGACTGTGACCCAGGAGCCTGACCTGCTTAGGTCTGATCTAAACATGAAGATTCCTGTCTCCTCCTCACACTTGTTATTTGTATGCTATCTGTGAGGTTTTCACACTGTGACGGCCATGGTAAGTCACTGCTGTCACCAGCGTGTGGCCAGCAAAGCCTATAGGTCCTGGTCCTTCACAGAATAAGCTGTGACCCTCTCTGTTCTCACTATCTTTGATGATGCAAATGTTATTTTTGTTTTGTTTTTGTTTGTTTTCAAGACAGGATTTCTCTGCATAGCCCTGGCTGTCCTGGAATTCACTCTGTAGAGTAGGCTGGCCTCGAACTCACAGAGGTCCGCCTGCCTCTGCCTCCAAGTGCATGAGATTAAAGCATGCACCACCACAGGGCTAATACAAATGTTCTCTGTCTTCATCAGTGTGCTGGCCTCAGCCTTGTGTGGCTGTTGAGCACTGGAAATGAGGGGGCACTGAGCTGTAGTGGCATCTTGCCTTGCTGGTGAACTTGTGGTGGTGGCCACACCCTTTGGACAGGGCTTCAGGTTCAGATGTGACCCATTACAAGATAGAGGAGGGGCTGGCTCGTGCTCTCTTGGGTTGTAGAGAGCATGGGGAAGGGCAGAGACTGCATCCTCTGCAGGGAGACCGTGGCGGTTATTTACTGTTTCCTGTGTAAGTGCTTCCCAAATGAATACCTAGTTATCATTTATCTTGGGTAGGGTGGACTCATTTAAACCCTGCCTTCACTGAGGGACTAGATATTTTAGTTGTCTAATTTGTATTAATTGTGTGGGTTTTAAAAAAAGTTTACTTATGTGCACGTGTGTATCTCTGTATGGTGTATGCCATGTGTGTTCTGGTACCTTGAGAGGCTCGAAGGTGTTGGGTCCCCTAGAGATGGTGTTACAGGCAGTTGTAAGCTACCTAACTAGGAATTCAACTCAGGTCCTTTGAAACATCAGCAAGCACTCTTCACCACTGAGCTCTCTCTCCAGGCCCTGGTTTGGTTTTTGAGATACAGCCTCATAAAGCCCAGGCTGGCCTCAAACTTGCTATGTAACTGAGACTGGCCTCGAATGCCTGATCATTCTGCCTCTAGTGAGTGCTAGAATTACAGGCATGTAACCACTATGTCTGCCTTAATTTATATTAAACTTCAATAGCCGCATGTGGCTTGTGTCTATTGTTCGACGGGGAGTCTAGGCCTCTAAGCTCTTCTATGGACCTCTACGAACTTCCTAACCCTTTTACAGCTCTCAGAACTTTGGCCCCTTTGTAGAATTCAGAGAGTTTAGAAACAAAATCTCCCTGCTAAATACAGCCCCCACAATTCCACTGTTAGTGAACCAACCCCTTAAACATCACCCTTTCCCCAGATTCCACTTTCAAATTGCAGCTGTCCCAGCCGAGATTACAGATGGAGTGGTCACAAATGCCGTTGTCCAAGCATTTCGGGCCGTTTGAAGCCAAAGTGGGGCATGAAGAGGAAGCGGTGGGTTCAAGGCTGGCTGCCAGGTCATCAGAACCCACAGTGGAAGTGAGGGCAGCTGGTAGCGCTCTTACCTGCCAGGGCCAGCTGTAAGGAACAGCATCTTCACCATTGACAACACGGCTGGAGGGGTTGTAGGCACGCTGGCCACAGCCTGAGGCTAGAGGGGACAAGAGAGAAGCCAGTCAGCCACAAGTGTCCTCAGAAGGAAAGAGGGGAGTCAAGTGTGGTGGTGCACACCTTTAATCCCCGCACTTGGGAGGCAGAGGCAAGTGGAATTCTGTGAGTTTGAGGCCAGCCTGATCTACATAGTGAATTCCAGGCCAACCAGGGCTATATAGAGTACCTGTCTAAAAAAGAAAAAGGAAGAGGAGAAAAAGAAGGAACGGGCTCTGTGACTTCAGATGAACCCTTCCCCTCTCTAGACTTCAGTAGCTATGTATGAACCAGCATTCATACACTTAGACTACATCAGGGCTTCCCAGAATTGGGAGAGAGCAGGGCTTCCTTTAGGTCAAGGACTAAAGACTTAGAAATCGTGCCTGGTACCCAGGGAGCCCTCCAACTCAAGAGCTAAAAGGCTCCATGTACTGGATGTGATCCCAGCCAGCCTTGAGAATCTGAGTCCAAAGGATCAGCCACAGGTTTGAGGTCAGCCAGGGTTAACGGAGTGTCCTCACCCCAAAAAAACAGAAATGGGGCTGGCAAGTTAGCTCAGTGAGGAAATGTACTTACCACCGAGGCTAATGACCCAAGGTTGATTCCTGGGATTTCCCCCACCAAAGAAAACTGATTCCTATGTGTTGTCCTCGGGCTCCACATGAGCTCCATAACATACACGTACTCCCCAATAAATAATTAATGTAATTAAAAAAAAGTAAAAAACCCCAGCTAAAAGTGGTATGCTGGCTCATGTCTATAATCCTTGTACTTGAGAGACTGAGACAGAGACAGGAGGATTGCCAGGAATTCAAGAAAAGACTGGCTGAACTATAACATGAGACTTTCTCATAAAGAGAGAGAGAGAGAGAGAGAGAGAGAGAGAGAGAGAGAGAGAGAGAAATGATGACAGCTGTTGATGTAGAGCTGAGGTGACCCAGGCTTCCTGGGTACAAAGCACAACTTGGCCACTTTCTCAGGATGAGCTACTTTACTTCTCCAAAGCTCAATCTCCCCACCGGCTCCACACTGTGATGAGTTACATGAGGTCCTATAAGAAGGAAAATCCTTTGCATCCTACCTGACATATAGCAAGCACTCAAGTCAGCGCCGACCATCACCATTATGGTCGGACAAGGGAAGTTCTGCGGGTTGTTTAACAGAAGAATAAAAATTCCAGATCAAGCCATCAAACCACAGAGCCCAGACCTTAAACCAGGAGGCTGTCCATTGTTCCTTCAAGGAGTCTTCCCCTCTGGGCTCCCAGTCTTTTTTCCAACCTGGTTCATCCGTAGCTTATCCCCTCCAACCCCTGTCCCAGAACCAAACTGAAGTCCCTAAGGCCATGTCCCAGTTATGTTGAGACCCTTTCCTGTAGAAGCAAGTATGGGATGTCACCCAGGGGGAGTAGAGTGAGGGTCATTCTTCAAGGGCTCCTAAGTTGATGCAGCGTGGAGACATGGCACAAGCTGGGGGCTTACCAAGGGCCACAAGCAGAAGGGAACTCAGCAACCGGAGCATGGTGAGCTTTGGGATGAGAAAGAAGGTGGCACCAGGGCTCTAATATAGTGCAGGAGGCAGGTGGAGGGGGCCAGGCCAGGTCCCACTCCCACAACACGTGGCAGAACACCAGCTTTTTCAGAGCCCAAGGCCACATGCCAACCACTACAGATTAAGGAATAGGAGCTGAGGGAAGGACCCCAGGCTTCCTCCAACCTGTGACTGCACAGGTGGCATTGAACAACCAGCTGATAAGACAGGGACAGGCAAATGGATTCTATCAGAGAGGCCAGCCTCTGCCAGGGAAGACCAGAGCAGGCCTGTGTTCAGATCCTGGCTTTATAACTCTGAATGCTTGGTTTAACTACTGTGAGTCTGAGATTTCTGGTCTCTAACATGGGATTAACATTCATAACTACCTCAATAAAACATGGGGGGGTTGTTTGTTTGTTTTGTTTTTTGTTTTTTTGTTTTTTGTTTTTTTGTTTTTTGTTTTTGTTTTTGCTGGGCAGTGGTGATTCCTTAATGCATACCTTAATCCCAGCACTCGGGATCTCTGTGAATTCGAGGCCAGCCTGGTCTACAAAGTGAGTTACAGGATAGTCAGAGTGGTTACGCAGAGAAGAGAAAAAAAATAAAAAAAAAAAAAAAAAAAAAAAAAAAAAAAAAAAAAAAAAAAGACTGTATTTTGACTACTTTCTCTAGTATATTAGGTGCTTTCTAGGGCTGTGAGCACAAACAGCAATGGTCCCAACCTGCCCAGAGCCTGTCTAGGGGTGACACAAAGATGAACCCACAAAAATTGTAAGAAACTGTTTCCACTAGTGAGAGTGGGTACTGTAGGAAAATGAAACATGGGTGTTTGGGAAGGGAAGAAATAATTCATTTGCCTGGGAGTTGGGACAAAATGACATTTTGACTAAGGAGGCAATTTGCGACTGAATCCTGAAGCTAGCCCTGGGTGGAGGGGAAGAACTTAGCTTGCCCAAGACTAGGAGTGCCAGGGCAGCCAGAGCTTACAGTCAAAGTGGAGCTGCGTGAGACATCGCGGTCTAGAACTCCAGCTGCTCTGAGGCTGAGGCAGGAGGATTATGAGTTGGAGATCAACTAGGGCTGCCTAGCAAGCCCCTGTCTCAAAGCAAAACTGAAAGAGGGCTGGAGGCGCAACCTAGAGGAGGCCTTTCATCCTTGTGAGGAAGAGGAGGAAGGAGGAAGAGGAGACAAGAAAGAAGGGGTGAGGGGGTGGAAGGAGGGGAAGGAAGAAATATAAGGATGACGAGGAGGAGGAGGACACAAGAGGTAGCAGAGGGTTGGGTTGGTAAGACGTCTCAGCTGTTAAAGGTGTCCAACAAGTCAGACAACCCGAGTTGATAAGCAGGACCCCACAAGGTAGGAGAGACCCAACTTCAGCAAGTTGTCCTCTGACCTCCACACACGTGCAGCGGGACATGCAGCCACCCCTACCATCCCCCACATATGCAACAAAAATGTAATGAAAATCTTTAGAAAACAGAAGCAGGGTGAGGATGCCGCCAAAGAAGCTGGAGAGATTGCTGCCCGCCATCTTCCTCCAGCAATCTGCCCTTCATCTACAGAGGCAGGGCTCTTGCCAAACCCAGGGCTTGTGATTGGCTGGTTTAGACCCCTTTCTCTACCTTCTGAGTGCTGGGGTTACAGGCAGGCCACCAGGGCTTCCTGGCTTTCATGCACATGCCTCAAACGGCCTTCTCTATGTAACCATCTCCCCAGCCATTTTTCTCTTTGAAGCCAGCCCTCCTCCCCTTAGTGGGGACAGAATTCAGAGCCTCATGAATGTGAAGCCACAGGGCTACCACCAAGCCACAAACCAGCACAGGGCCAGCATTTTTTTTTTTTTTTGCTTGTTTTTTGTTTTTCACAACCAGATTTCTCTATATAACCCTGGCTGTCCTAGAACTAACTCTGTAGACCAGGCTGGCCTTGAACTCACAGAGCTCTACCTGCCTCTACCTCCCAAGTGCTGGGATTAAAAGCATGTGCCACCACCACCTGGTTTAGGGCCAGAATTCTATAAGGGTTCCATGACATGTGTGAATAAAGTAAGTCCTCATGATCCCTCCTCACCCCTCCTGAGCATGTGTTCAGGCTCAGCATGTCTGAAGTCTTCCTCCGCTCCTATAAATGGAAGCCAAGGAAGGGCAACACTTAGCTGCTCTAAGTGGACCCTCGATGGGAGAAGGTCTCCTGTGTGGCCAGGAGGGTTTTCTTTACGTTACAGATGCCTGCCTTTTATCATGCCCCCAGTGATGCCTGATACTTCCGTAGCCTGGGCCGTTGATCAGTTTGTGTACACAACAGAAACAGCTGTGAAAATCCTTCAAAGTAGGATAAAAATAGCTGTGCTCTCCCTACTTCCTGTGGGCCTGGACATATTTGCTCAGCTTGGATGATCAGAGCCTTTCCCCAGACTCTGCACTGGAGAAGGAGGGAGGAGGGAGGAGCCCAGAAGAGATACAGGGAGGAGGTAGGGTCTTATGGCAGAGGGCTGGAAACAGACCTCTCTGTCCAACCCAGCTATCTGCAGATGGGACAGAGCCCAGGAAAAAGCTAGGACTCAGTCAAGTTCCCCATGTGTTCCTAGCCAGATAGAAGCTAGCTCAAGGACACAGCAAGAGTTGAAACCCTCCCCGGAGTTCACACAGAAGGCTCCCTGGCCCTTATCCACCCGGCCTTGAGCAATGTTCCTGGGCATGTGGCTCCAGGGCAGTGGGTCTTCAGAGGTGGCCTCCCTGAGGTCAATTGTTCATTCCCACTAGGGCCAAGTGGGTATTCTTTTCAAAGCCTTAGGAAAGATACAGTTAGCTGTGCTATTGATAAATCTCAGAGATCCTGGTGTAGCAGTAGTAGGAGTCCTTGAGGTGGATTCCCCAAAGCATCGAAGAGGGAGTTGCCCAAGGAGAATGGAGGAGTACCATCTGTGCCAGACCTTAGGCTGAAGAAAAGTAAGCCATGGCTTAAGTGGGATTGGTGGGCTGGGTGTAGGGGAGTGACCTAGGAACCAGGATTTGGGGCTGGGTTTGACCTTGCATGTTTGTGATTCCAGCACTGGGGATGGTGAGGCAGGAGAACTGCCATGAGTTTGAGAATGCCTTAGAACTACAACATAGTGAGTCCCAGGTCAGCCTAAGATATTATATGAGGCCTGTGTTTGGAGGGGGTCAAGAAGAGGAGAGAGCTGAAGATATAATTTAACTAGAACACTTGCTGAGTATCTTCTCTAGCAAGCATGAAGGCCTGGGTTCAATCCCCAGCATTTTATGGTAGTTCAAGGTCATCTTCAGCTACATAGAAAGTTCCGATCTGATTTAAAAACAATTCAAAAACAAAAACAAACAAACAAATAACCCGGGCAGGTCTGGGGAAGGAAGGACAATCAGGGAATCTAGGGGGCAGGGGCACATTGCTTCTAGTTCTCACTGAATAGGAAGGTCCAAGAGGGCTGGAAGTGTCCTGTGTTCCTCTCCAAATCCTCCACACCGAGATGGACAGAACCCAGCACACAAACACTGTTCAAAAGTATTTTCCAAAGAGGAAAAACGAATCAACAAGGCTAAAGGACCCTTCAGTCCCTTCTTGCCCTCCTCTGAAAGTGCCCTTGACCCTGTCGTTCATAAAGAACCTGTGGAGGTCCTGTGTGTCCCAGCAAAGCTGGTGTCAATGTGAGGATGGTGTCAGGAAGCATGGCTGTGCCAGAGATAGGGGGCTTGCTTAAAGTTTCAAAGGCTGAGTCTGTTATCATCATGTCAGGAAGCAGGGCAGCAGGTATGCTGGAAAAGTCGCTGGGATCCTGATCCTCAAGCAGAGTGAGGGAGACTGCATCTGGCATGAGACCTCAGCCCACTCCTCCAACAAGGCCAATCTCCCAATCCTTCTAATCCTATCAAGCAATTAAACTCCCTGCTGACTAAGCATTCAAATATATTAGCCTATGGGGGCCATTCTTATTCAAACCACCACAGACAGGGGCTGTCAAGATAGCTCAGCTGATAAAAGTACTAGCTGCCAAACCTGATGACCCGAGTTCAATCCCTGGCACCCACATGGAGGAAGGAGACAAACTCCCAAGAGTTGTCCTCTGATTTTCACATGGGCGCTATGGCACATGTGCCTACACCACCCACTAAATAAGCTTTTTTTTTTTTTTAAGTGCATCTGCAAAGAAAGAAAGAAAGAAAGAAAAAACTAGTTTGTTTTTGAAAGTTCTGATGGTCTGAAATGGGTAGAATACACCTTTCATACCAGCACTCGGAAGGCAAGAGACAGGTGACTCTGTGAGTTCAAGGCCAGCCTGGTTTATATGCACTCCTACCCAACCCAGGCTACTTAGTGAAACTGTCTGGAGAAAGAAAAGAAAGCTCCAGTGGGATTGAGAAATAGGAAAAATTCAAATGATGTTTTCCTGTAGGGTTCCTCAGAGCATTACTGTGCTGTGCTCAGTGTGAGTCACATATTTGGGAGTTTTATGCCAGGAAACTGCTGGTGTTTTATTGCTCTTAGTTCTCCAGCTACCAGTCCCACCCCTCCCAGAAGGGCAGCCAGCCTTGGGGGGCGGGGCTAAGGACACCTAGGATTGAGCAAACAGCATCTGTGGCTTCTAGAGCTGGGAGTTGCACAGGTGGCCCTTGTCCCAAGGAAGGCCTTGCCTCAGTGGGAACCAGAAGGGTTTGTTGGGCAATGGACACAGCCTTTTTCCATAGTTGATTCCATGCCTTCTGGAGGCCTGGTAGGATGGAGGTGGAGGTCCACTCAAGCTCTTTCAGCAAGTGCACACTCCACAGATGTTTGCTAGGCTCGTGATAGGTGCCAGGGTGCTTCTGGTCACCCGGGTGGTGCTGGGAAGAAAGAAAGATGTTGGGGAGCTTCTCAACCCCCAGGGTGGCGTCATTACACACAGATAAACAAGGAGGCAGGCTTTATGGTTACAACTGTATCAAGAAGACAGGTTTAGTTAGCAATCTCTGTAGGGGAGGCAGTTAGTCGGT